CTTCAGAAATCAGCAGTGTTCTCAGTCTGTGTTTTGACGGGTCATTACACTACCCCCCCCTCAAGAGCGAGGTCCCTTCGAGCGAGTAACTCAACCAGAGTCCTTGCATAGTGCATCATAGGCGTAGATAGCAAAGAGAGATCGGGCGTGTTCCGTAGGAGTCAGGGTAGCAGTGAATTTTGGTTGCTGTTCAGCACTTATCAACCGTTCATAGGCATTCACGACACGCGGTGCACTCTGCAGTAAGTCTTTCGTAGCAATCCAATAGAAATCGTCCAACGGATGGTACAAAAAATGGACTTTGTACTGTCTGTTTCTTCCCTTCCCACTTTGTTCGACAATCCTATCAACCTCATGCCCGCCATTGATTGCATGGGGAATCATTGACTCTCGGTATTTGAAAGTCTCAGGTGATTCGTACAGAAACAACTTTGACGCATGAAAGACTGGGTATGTGCGCAAATGTGCAGGCACATCGATCATGGAAGAAGGACCGAAGGAATCACCCCCTACCTGGTTCAAGACCTGCCACGGACCGTAGTACTGAGGAAGAAGTTTTCGTGATACACCTTCTTCTTCAGAAAACTCAGACATTTTGACCCAAACATAACTTCCCCCTGTGAAAAGCGCAGGCTGGCGCTTCTTGTTTGCATGTTTGATCATGGCACTGCGTCGCCTTTCCATGTTCGGGGAATAGGTAGGATAGAGGATTGCGAATTTTCCATCCAAGATGCAGTCGGTTAGGCGTCATCCCGGTGGAAGAGTGGATGGAGTTGTTATACAACCCTTGCACGATCGGCAACTCCTCATCCCACGAGTTCTGATCAGGCACAATTAAGGCTCGGAGCAGTTGGATCACCGTCTGATTGATCTCCTCGTCCAGTCCATTGGCTTCGGGATGTCGACCAGATGTGATCTTTAGTTTCATGTCATAGACCTGGGAGGTGAAGTCCTTCTATTCTGCGTTTATGAACCTAGTGTCCTGGTCACTCACAAGAGTTTTCGGGGGCCCACACTGCAGAATGTATCTTTTGTGAAACTCTTTGATAACAAGGTCAGTTGGGGCGTGAGGTGGTAGTGGAATCAGATTCAAAAACTTCGAAAAACGATCGACAATCACCATAACTTGGGAATAATCGTTTCTGCTCTTCTTCCCCATGTCCGTGAAGTCAATAGAAACAGACCCCCCCGGACCGTCAGGAATAGGAAGAGGGTGCAGCTGCCGAGACGGTTTAATGCGTTGACAAACTTCACACTCAGCCACAAACCTTTGCGCCATCCTTTTCATACCAGGCCACACAAACTTTTCCAACAGATTCCCGTATGTCTTCTCAACACCGAAATGTCCACTCATGCCATGAGCCAAATCCAAGAAGTGAGTGATGATTGGCTCATGGCTGGGTACACACAACCGGTCATGCTTACCGTAGCGTCGGAAGAGAAGGCCCTTACATTCATGGAAATCAGGCTGACTACTAGGGTCAGCCCGAATCTGATCAAGGATGGGATCGAGTTCCGGATCCTTGGCAGTGTGCTCAATGAGTTCCTTCTGTAAGATCTTGCGAAGATTGTAGGAACCCACTAGGCAAGTCATGTACTCAGGGTGGCGAGACAAAGCATCCGCAACTCGATTATAGCAGCCTTTCTTGTGTTTGAGTTTGAAATCATACACATCAATCTCATGCAGCCAGCGGGTCAGCGTAGTTGATGGGTTTATCTGTGTCTGAATCCACTTCAAAGTCTCATGATCCGATAACACTTTGAAATGGCGACCCAAGAGGTAGTGTTTCCAATGGTCTAGTGCCTCTCTCAAGGCATAGAGCTCTCTCATGTAAGTGGAGGCAGCTACCTTGTGGCTGGGCATGCGTTTGCTGTAGTATTCCAGCGGATGTAAACCATCACCATCATCTTGCTGCAGCACTGCACCAATCCCATACAGACTTGCATCCGTAGTTACTACAAATGCAAGCTTGGGATCTGCAATGCGGAGCACCGGATGACTCACCAAAGCCTCCTTTAGTGCTTCGATAGCTGTCGTGCATTCCTCATCCCATGTGTAGGACACATTCTTGCTGGTTAGTCTAGACAATGGATGGGCAATGATCGAAAATTTAGGCACAAACTTACGGTAGTACGACGCAAGACCAAGAAAAGAACGCAACTCGCGGACATTCGCAGGTTGGGGCCACTTTTGGATGACCTCAACCTTGGTTGCCTCGGGCTCTAGGCCTGCATCAGACAACCGATGTCCAAGGTAGATGACGCTGTCCCTCCCAAACTCAGATTTCTCCAAGTTGAGATGGAGCTGCGCGTCCTTGAGGATCTGCATCACTTCCTCAAGGTGTCTCATGTGCTCCTCCATTGATTTGCTGAAGATAAGAATGTCATCCAGATATACAACAACAAATCGGTTGATCTGATTGCGAAACACTTTGTCCATGAGGCTTTGGAAGGTGGCTGGTGCATTTGTGAGACCGAAAGGCATATCTGTAAACTCGTACAGCCCATCTCGAGTTTTGAATGCAGTTTTGTGCCGACCTCAATCTGGTGATAACCAGATTTGAGGTCGATCTTGCTGAAGACCTTGCACCCACCTGCAGCGTCAAGCAAGTCATCAATACGTGGCAAAGGGTATGCATTCTTCCTTGTGATTCTATTCAATCCGCGGTAGTCAATACACATCCGCAGTTTGCCTCCTTTCTTAGGGACAAACAACATTGGTGCACCAAATTCAGACTCACTGGGTTTGATCCATCCCTTCCCAATCATCTCATCAATCTGTCGTCGCAACTCCTCCAATTCGCATGAGCCCATTGATAGACACAGCCTTTTGGAGGGGTGCTACCTTCAATCAACTCGATTTTGTGTCGGACCGGTCGCACGGGAACTCCATGCGGTTCAACCAAGACCTCGGGGAACCGGTTGAGAAGGTTGCGGATTTCCAGTGGGATTTCCGGAGGGGGATCATCACTCTCAGGAGCCAGCATACCAGATTGCATAGGTGCAGCCAAAACAACAGAATTAGAAGTAGAGTCATTTGGGCTAGAGATGGATTTAGTAGAGGTAGAAGTAGTTGCCTCCGAGGTGGAAACAACATGCAAAGCAGAATCATTATGTACAGCAAAAATAGAAGGCACATGAGCAAGCCTAACAAAGGCTATATACATTTGCTCATCAATTTTGCGCATGCGCCACTTTTTGCAGAATTGCATTGCATTGAGAAAGGTTACTTGAGACTCGCGCGGCTCATCCAAGAGGACTGGACGCTCGATTCCCATGGCATCTTTGACCATGAATTGTGAGTCCTTCCACGTGGTTCTTTCATATTGAGCCAGCAACCAGCCCAAGCCAATAACCGTGTCGAAGGGGCACTGATCAAGGATATAGAAGTTCAATTCATGCGTGATTGTGCGGTCAGCGTCAAAGGTAGTGCGCACACCTTTGACTGCATGCGTAGATGTGACAACCTCTTGGTTGCCTACTTGGGTCCGACAAGGATTCTGCAACGTCACTTGCTTCATCCCCAAGCGTGCCTTACGAATGCCGTGCGGTGAGAAGTAGTTGGCGGTTGCACCACAATCAGCCAACGCACGGATGTAACGACCATTAATGCAGAGTTTGAAGAAGATCAACTTCGTCCTCCCTTGTGCACTTTCTTGCTTCATGTGAGCCCAACGCGTCAACAGAGCATGAAAGTCAATCTCTTTCGACTCTACCCAAGGCTCCTTGTATAGGATGTGTAACTTTTCAGCCTTGGAATCAGCATCAGATGGGGTTTCAGGAGAGGTTTGCTGAGTGGGATCAGAATCCAAAGAAGAATCTGTACTTACATGTTCAGCCTCTCCATCCGTAGAGTGTGTTGATGATGCCTCTACCCCCATTGCTGGTTTCCCTACTGCAATCTGAAACAATGTTGGACTGAATGTCCCGGTTTGGTGCAATGCAGGCAAACTCCTCTCTTCACCCTGTTCTTCCACTCACTTTCACTAATCCGGAGATCTACCCATGGTTTTGTGGTAGGATCTTCTGGTTTTGGTGGAATCTTTGCTCCCTTGGGAAGAAGGATAGTGTTAGTGTTGTTCTTCGTTGTGGTCCTCGGTCCCTTACTCTTAAAGGCAGTCTTTTTAAAGGCATTCATAGAGTCTTCGTCATTTACATACTCAGACTCATGGGCTCACAAAGAGCAAGATGCCCCGCAGTCTTGCTCTTGATCGTCATTAAGAGAAGATTCTTCTGCGAGGGTCTCCTCGTCAGCCTCAAGCAGATCGTGTGCTGTAAAACGGTTGCTGCCTGGAAACCGTTTGCGGCCAGTGGCCTTTTTGCCACTTGATCCACCCGGGAGGTCTTGTGCCTCCAGCTTGACTAAGTCCCGCATGAGGGTAAGCCAATCTGTATATCTGTTGAGCCCGAGCCCTAGGCGATCTTTTAGAGTAGAGGGGACCGTACCTTTTATCACATCCAAACAGGACTGCGCAGTCATCTCCAGATCCAGAGTAGCAAAGAGTTTACTAACATACTGCTGCAGGTTGTGCATGGTGCTGGTCCACTTGCTGTGCTTGAGCTTGTCAAGCTTAAGTCTTGCTTTAGCTGCAGCATGTGGATCAGCATATTGTTTGATCAAGAGATCCTCAAGTGCGGCAGTAGGCGTAGCCTGTAGCCATTTGTTCAAGTCTATTCTCTTATAGCCTGATTGGACAGCTTGGGTTTCTAGGAAACCCCGCACGACGGGCTCCACATTGGTCCCCAGGATAGACGACTGAGTGGACGGGGGTGTCCCCAATACATCAAAGTAGGACCGCATAGAGCTGATCCAAGACTCGACGTCGTCCTTTCCGTCATACTTGGATGGAATTTGCGCCGCCTTCCTGTCGATGTTAGCAAAGCTGCCGCCTGGCCCAGCCATTGCTGGGTCCGGGCCCGGGGCTGCAACAGTTCCAGAAGTCCCTGCACCACCACTTGCCGCTGCTGCAGCAGCAGCAGCAGCAGCAGCGGGGTCTGGACTTGCTGCAGATCCGCTTTGGCTGTTAACCACACTCAAAGAAGAAGAAGAAGTAGAAGGAGAAGAAGTAGACATAGTCTGAGGGGCAAAAATGGACTGACACGCAGCATTGGAGGCAGGGTAGGTGAGTGGAGAGACGATTTGGGCCTGCTGCGAACTAGCAAACTGTTGCAGCTGATCGCGGTGCTGCGCCATCTTGGCCATGTCTTCGCGCAACTCCTTTAGCTGCTTAAACACCTGTGCGAGTTGGCCAGTATGGTCCTCAGCAACCCGGACCCCTGCTAAGGCTCTAAGGAGGGGAACCATTTTCTCTTCTACCTCCTCATCAGTCAGAGCGGACACGGTGCTAAGGACGGCCTCGTGAGCCTGCACCTTATCCCTTCTCTCTCTCTCTTTCTCTTCCTCCTCCCTCTTCAAGGCTTTCTCGTAGAAGAACTGATACTGCGGTTTTTTTGCCTCAGGGGCAGCGTCCATCTGCAGTTTCCAATCTGCTGCAGATGCCATGATGGAGGATGAGGGTGTCAGTAAGACTCTCAAGAGGGGTCCGTACTTCCTCTCAACTTTGCGACGAACACTCCTCTTCCCTCTCCTCACTCCCTCAAGAGCRACACTCAATAACTTCTCTCTTCTCTCTCTCTCTCTCTCGTTTGCGACCGTGTAGACGCAGGCATTAATGAACCCAATGAAAGAAACAGCTTGAAATCATTCAGAAGAGAAGGTAGAACTCCTAGCCGGAGCGGCAATTCATTTGGACTGGAGAGCAGTCAAAACA